TCCTCGTCATTGTTGTCGTTATCGTCCTCACTCTCGTCGCCGCCAACATTGTTGTCGTTGCCGCTGATCGGCACGACGGGCACATTCGGCAGCGTTGGCCCCAGAGTAGGATCCGAAGTGGGATTGGGAGTCGGTGGGAAGGTAGGAATGCGTGTTGGTAGACCCGTTGGTAATGGGGTGGGATTAGGAGTTGGTAAAAAGGTAGGGCCGTTTGTTGGTTGACCTGTGGGTAACTGCGTGGTAGCTACCTGATTGACCGGGAAAAAACCCGGCGGTGGGGGAGGGTACGGATTGTACGGGWTGTATCCAGGAGGTGGTGGAGGATGGTATCTATATCCAGGCGGTGGAGGGTATCGAGGAGGTGGAGGGTATTTAGGAGGTGGCGGGTAATAATATCCATCCGTTGGACTCGGCGTCTGTCGAATGGTTGGATAGGGTGTGGGGGGTGCCTCCGTCGGATACATCGTAGGTGGAGGTGGAATGTTCCTCTCGATCGGATGTTGATAGATCGGGGGATATGGATAATAGTATTGCTGTTGCTGCTGTTGCTGGCCATACCCGGGAGGAGGTGGATGATAGGGATAACCACCATGATTTCCGTCAAAATGAATGTGGTTTCCATGATGCTGATTTGAGGAGTGCTCATCTTTATACGGATCGGTTCCTGTTGGATACATCGTCGGTGGTCTATCGTCAACATTAGCACGACTCCCATATGGATATGACGTTGGGTACATGGTGGGGGGGGGAATCCAATGTTGGTTTTGATGATTGTTGAAATTAAGATGATTGTTGTTGTTATTAATTGGATTGGGGTTGTTGTTATTGTTCCCACTACGACTCTCGCCTTCCATAAGTAGTTGAGCAAACGGAGTGAGCTCAGAAGAAGGAGTTGGAACTGGATTCTGAATTCCAAATCTCGGAGCTCTCRTCGGCGTTGGATCCGGACCGAATGTTGGCGGTATTGCGGGTATAGGAGAACGCAGTTGGCCAGTTGCYAACGAACCGTTCGCAGCAAGAGTCAACCACACGGCGACTGTCGAACTACAGAAATTCATCGCCGTAGTATATTAATAACACGGTAACACCTTGCTGTGCTTTGTAGTCGGACGATTCGTCACTGAGTTTTTGCAGCTCTTATCGTGACTACACTACGTTTCGATCCAAAGTCGAGATTTCTCGTTATCAACGAAACTTATACTGTCGCGCTCTTTCTCTCTCTCTCTCTCTCTCTCTCTCTCTCTCTCTCTCTCTCTCTCTCTCTCTCTCTCTATCTCTCTCTCTCTCTCTCTCTCTCTCTCTTTCTATCTCTCTCTCTCTCTCTCTTTCTATCTCTAGTTTGGGTCGGTTGATACTGTTGCTCTTCACTAGATTGGATTGGTGGATGGGTTGGTTCATCACTCTCAAAATCATCCAATTGAAGAAGTTTCCTACGAATTATTGCGATGGGTACATAGTGTACGTGACTTGGTCACGATTATTTTTCAAGTTTGGGTGCCTCATACCAACCAGTTTTCTGGCGAGTCACACATCCTTCGATGTTTTAGCGATATGGTAGGCCGGCGCTTTAGAATTAAAAAATATCAAAATATAATGAGAGGTGTTGTTGACGACCCTGCAAATTTATCTGACCGTACGGTACTGTACGATGCGGTAAAGTACCAGTATACAGAGAATCCTTCCTCAATGGTCAACGGAGTACGAGTACCATATTCATAATACATATGTAAAGTACATACAAAATTTAATTTCAGAAGGTGCGCAGTGCGCAAACTAATTTCTGTACCGTAAATATTTGCGTCTTGCATCATCCGTAAGACACAGTACTCGTACGTAAAGGCACAGTAGATCCTAATGTACATTACCCACCGTACAGTTTCAAAGCATCCTTTCTGAAAGAGAGGACGAGGTCTGGATGAATAAGGATGAGCTCCGCTACCTCTCCCGATGCGATACGTACGGTACGGTACCGTACGGTTAAGAGTAACTCGTACCGTACTTGGTAGGAGAGCATACCGTAGTGTGAAATGGACGACGTTCCTCACGGTGTGAAAGATGAGGATACGGTACGGGGTGCAGTATTGTTCGGTACCCGCACTGTCTGGCATTGGCGGTAACAAACGTCCACTTCTGCAAGTTTTCGGTTTTCGTTAATACTGAGCTTCGAACTTGGCGACTAAAGCGAACACCGAGAACAAAAGAGAGATTATATTGCAACGCACATCATATTCCTGMGTCCCATGAAGAAATAAACCAAAAACAGTGCACATCGTRTTCTTCCTCCCACTCTTTACCCCTCCAAAGTATTTTACGCACGACATTGCAAACGACGAGAGCCTACCGAGGAACACGAAGAAACCCAAATAGATAGATCGATGCCGAAGGCACTAGCAAAGAAAGGCAAGCCTGCTGCTACCAGGAAAGGCGAAGGAAAGAAAAGGAACGTCAACAACTCCTCTTCCAAGAAAGAACGAAAACCAAGATCGGAAACATATGTTGTGTGCCCCTACACCGACCAAAAAGTCTGGATATCGAAGGCGACGGTCAGCGACTTGAAGCCATCGGGCAAAAACACCAGCAACATCCACAAGAACGACAGCAAGAAACGTCTCTGGACGATTTCTTCCTCGCAGATCCGCCACGATCACTATGCAGAGGTGGCACAGGCCCTTAGCATTTACGAACAAAATCTCCTCCCGAGCTCGGGGGGGCGGTCGTGGGAAGTCACGGTCCAGCTCTCGGAGCCAAATGCCCGCATTTTATTTCGATCCTGGAAGGGGCGGATGGAGGTGCGTATGCAGATGTATTGTATTGTGTTGTACGGTACTTTACTGTACTGTACGTTGCCAATTCGACATGAATTGTTTTCTAGAGTTTCGTACCATTGTTTGGTTTTGTAAGCACTAATAAAGTGTTGAATGAATCTTTAACGGATGTGTCGATATATTATGGATCAGCTGGCTTGTTTACCACACTTGATCGATCGCATACCTCGACCGCCAGTATGGCCCGGAAAACGAAATCAACCGGCCGACGATTACCGAGCTATGCAAGGCGAAGAGGAGGATGTAGAATACACGTACGACGGAGGCCGAAAACGAATCAAAAAGAATACCAAACAGGATTACATAAAGGGATTGACAAGCCGGGAGATATCTATGCTTAGTCAGGTCGCATGGGACGTTCTCAAACCAAAGTATGATCATCCGGCACCTACCGTGACGATCAAGTGGAAGTCTCCGGACGCCAAGACCTTTACCTCCCGAAAGTCGGCCTGGGAACACGCTACCAAGCTCTCCAAACAAGAAGTTGCCATCGATCGAAACCTATTGGGCATTGGAGCATCAGGAAAACTTTTGAAGGAATTTTTCCCATCTGCCAAAACTGCCATCGAAGTCGGAAAGATGCGGTTCGAAAGGGACGGCTTGTGGGTAGTTGGGCAAGAGAATTCATGGCAGGCCGATCGAGAGGACGAACTGATGCTCCAAGACCAGGAGAGAGAAGAAGCAGCTGCGTCGAAGGTTTACACCAGCGGCCTCCAGCTATACGTGGCCGAAAACCGGCATTCCTACCGTGACGAGCACGGGACAAATCTTGTGGAGGCCGACAAGGCCCTGCGGCACCAATGGAGGTGTCTCCCACCMAAGGAACAGGAGCGCTGGAACGACAAGGTCCAAGAACAATTTGAAGACGACGAAGATTCGTCTGAASATGATTCTTCGTCGGAAGAAGAGGGCGGAGAAAGTGGCAATGACAAGGACACAACTAATCCAGTAGCTACCAAGGACGACAACACTGACTCCGATAGCGAAAGCGACGATGAATCCTCGGTGGAGGTTATTTCACACTATCAATATTTTTTGCGGCAACGTCGCCACAATTACCGACACGAACAACAGATGAAATTAGAAGCCATCGCTGCCAACAGCAAAGGCACAAAGAGAACGAGGTTCACTCTAGCTCAGGCAGACAAGGAACTCAAACAGCAATGGAGGGAAATGGAAGAGGAGCAACAAGACGAATGGATTGCAAAACTGAAACGAATGGAAGAAGAAGAAGAAGAAGAAGTAAATGAAACGAAGAACGGAATGAAACAGCAACTGCACCAACCACAATCAGAAAACTCGGGGGACGAAATACTTAATTTAGATGCTGGAGTCGTTACAGCTGCTGGAGAAGAAACCGAAGCCAAAATTATTGTGGAAAACACCGATTTTCATTTTCGACACCCAATTACAACAGCAGGGATAGCAATGGATCACGGGGAGATGGAGAGTTCGAATTTTGAAGAAGAGAAGAAAATAGACGACGATGACCAGTTCGCAGCAACACCGACCGAGGAGATCGCCAAATCGAGCGGGAAAAAATCTAAAAGGAAGCCGCCAACTAAAACGAAACAGAGGGCGAAGACTACCAAAACCCCGTCAACGACCAAACCAACGACGAAGGCATCGACCAGAAAAAAGAGGCAGTCGACGCCAAAGTATTGTCTCAAGCCGGATCAAATCAATCAGTGCCACGAGGCCTGCATGGAGCACTACGAAACCGTGATGCGAACGGTCAAGACACGAGACTTGTCCAGGGAACTCGCAGACGGCTTTGATGTGCTCCGGGAACGCGGTCACGGACGCTTCGATATGGAACTGCCAGCCTTTGACGACCCTGGCTTTGACTTTTTGACCGACCTGGGCAAGACTCCCTGGATGCCCATCGTGCGAGCCATTCTAGGACAGGATGCGGTTCTCATCCACAAGGGGTGTTTCATGTCCCTCCCCGGTGCCGGTTCGCAGGTCTACCACCAGGACGGAGTCCACCTCACCACACAGAGCCAGCGGCCCTGCCACGCCATCAACGTTTTTGTTCCTTTGGTGGATCTGCATTCCCGGAACGGCCCCACGGAGTTTGTCCTGGGAAGCCACGTGCTGGGGCACGATGGGTACGACCGCGACTTTCTGGAAACCCCAAAGCCGACGGCCGGTACCCCGGTCGTCTTTGACTACCGCTTGGGGCACCGCGGACTGGGCAACTCGAGCACCGGCTGCCGGCCTATTGTGTACTGCACCTACGCCCGGGCTGCCGACGGGAGGGCCTTTCGCGACTCGGTCAACTTTTCCCGGAAGCGATACCACAAGATCGGCGAGCTCTCCGCCAAGCCACTGTCCAGGGAGGAGCGGCGGAACAAGCGGAAACGGTCCATCGAGTCGGCCCGCGAGAAGAAGGAACTCGACCAGACCATCGCCCTCTCGGCGACGGAAACGGAGACGCCCGTTGTTGCCGGGGAGGAGCCACTGTCGGTGACGGTTGTGGATTCGTCTGTCTGCGAGGCTGGGCCAGCTTCCATCGAGAGCCAGAAAAGAGTCAAAGAAGACCCACGTATGGCCGAGGATGGAATTGCAGAGGCGAAGGAACCAGAAGTCGAAAACACGCCGGCATGATTGTCTCTGCCGTTGCCTTCCTCAAGCGCACGTTAACGCAACGAGAGAAGGCCATTGACTGTGTCAAGAGTGTGTCCTTTGTTTCTCTTTTGCATGCACCGAGTCCCGAGTTTGGGCTTGGAGAGATCCGACAAAAGACTATAAACGATGTTGACCATTTTTTATTAAAATGACTCGAGAATACTCGATAGAAAAACTTTTTGTTTCTTCGATATGGAAAAATTACAGGAAAGAATTGTCGTGCGGAGCTGTTTCCAAATAATGTTGTTATTCTTATTGCGCATAGCTATCATAGTTCACTCGCTCGCTGTGCCAATCCTCGTGGAATGCTTCACCAGTTCTCCTCGTCCTCCGAGACGTACTGGATGTTCCAGTCTCGGGCAAAGAGTTTCTTGCGGAGGACCCGCTCGACCTTGTGGTTCCACCGTTTGTTGGGGTTGTCGGCCCGCTCCTGCCCGTCGAGCTTTCCCGTCGCGTCCACCAGCAGCTCCATGAGCGGGCTGCAGTTGCTTCGGGATTCGTCCCGGAGCTGCGAAAGCCGGCGAAAAATCTTGAGGACCTGCTCGGCCGAATACCGGTCGTCCCTCAGGACCTCCGTGACCTGGTCGACCGTGTTGAGGAGTTCGATGGGTTCGGTGTCGCCGTCGCCACCTCCCACCCGGGCCCGGATCAGCAGGTCCTCGATCCAGCCGTCGACCTTGTCCGTCTCCTTTTGCAGCCTGGCCTCCCGGGCTTCGTCGAGGTTCGTCCGGAGAGAGTCGGCCTCGGCCCGGAGTTTTGCGGCCTGTGCCCGGAGGCTGTCGAGATCGTCCCCGTGTGCCTCGACAAATTCGTTGAACTCGACCTCCCGCTGCTTCTTGATGCTCATTCCGGTTTTGYTCCTGTCCTTGTCGGCGGCGTCGTCGCTGCTGTTGTCGTTTCCCGATCGAGCGRCATACCACAACTCTTGGTTTCGATTCTGCTGCCGGTGCGATCGATGGACGAGGCCACAAGGGCCGTTTTCCCCGCGAAATCTTCTGCCGATCCCGGGAGCTCGATGGCGGTTCCCGTTGCGATGTTTCGGAAGGGACGCCAGCAAGCAAGGCTGTTGCACCCGTGCTTCCGAAGCACAAAGCAAAGCGGAAACGGGTTCCGAAACCAGTAGCACGGCAGCGGTGGCAGCGAGAACCAGGCAATTCCGAAGGGACACCGCGTCGCTGGCCTCCCGGCCTCCGGTGCCGCCACCGCTGCTAGCGCACCGGGCTCGCTTCATGCTGTGTGTGTGAGATGGTGTGTTGTGCCTGTTCGGACGTCGCTGGACCTCGTTGGGATGCGATGTTGTTCCGATGGCTTCTGCTACCGTGTGGCACGCATTCCTCGTTCCGTGGGCGGTGCGGTCGAATGGGAAAACAATGCGGAACCTTCCTTCGGATGTACGAAGTATCGTTCTGTTGCTTCTGGAGCACGAGCAGCAAGCGACGGGTCTACGAGAACAGAGGAAGAACGAAGAACAAAGAACAGAAAGTATCGTCGTCGTTTCAAAAGACCGTGTACCGTAGGTATGCTAGCAATGATAAATAGTACCGGTAGTGTGTGCATTATTTTGGATTTTCGGTTCCGTGCTACCGCACGTACTCGTACGTACCCCTGCTATGTAGTTTGACGTAAACTATCTACCGTAGCCGTAGCGTATCTTCGTTCCCATTTTGACGATCGATGCGATCGACAACGAACACCGGAACGGATCGAATCGAACCGGAATTCAATTCAATCATGTCCGGGAGTGACTCAGCCAATMCCTTCGCGTGTCGTGCAGTGCGCGGGGCACGACATCATATGTATAATATATTGATAACATAAYATAGATATGATACTAAGGATGGCCGAATGCCCAGTGCCCATCCCCCTCTGCTTCCTCACCTGCCTCAGCGTCCTTCGTTCGACACAAACGTACCGTACGTACCGTACAGTGCGAAGCGTACGGTACGGTAAGTACCATACGTACTGTAGCAGCTACCAACGCAACACCCACTAGAGCCACAACTTTTTAGGAGACAAAACGAAGCCGTCGTCCATGTATTACCGATCGACTTCATTTGATTTGAAGGAATTGCACAAGGCTCACGCAAATCTGCACAAAATCCCCCGTCCCCTCTCACCAAACGACGGACGAAGCCGAGACAACACCAACAAACCCCACCACCAACCGAACAAAGCCACCGCCACACCCCAACGCTACCACAGAAACCATGAGAGCCGCCCTCCGCCACCTGTGCCAGAAGGGCGAACAGGCCCTGAAGCCCCAGAAGGTCGTCGCCGCCGCGTCCACGACCGAGGGCTACGTTTCCAAGCCCTCCCGGGAGGTCTGGAGGCGCCCCGTCGTCGGCAAGCGGGTGGCCAACGACCTCCGCAAGGCCGCAATCCGGTCCGGGACCTACGGGAGCTTCTGCTCCGAGACGGGGATCGGGTGGGAGCCCTCCTGGGACCTCCACCTCGTTCCACACCGCCACTCCGTGGCACGCTTCGGACGGATCCGGCCCTCCAAGCGGACCGCCCGAGAGCGGAACCGGGAGGACCGGGCGCGAAAGCTGGAGGAGAAYCTCCTGGAGCGGGAGGCGGCCATCGAGGAGCACTACTCCTCGAGGGAAGAGGCCCGCGTCCAGGACAAATCCTTCGAGGCACGGATGAAGCGGATGGCCCGGGGCAGCGGTGGCGGTGGGCCGCCGTAGTGCAGCAGAATTGAGCTAGATTCAACTACGGAATGGAATAGCAGGGAGAAAGCAACAGAAATGAAAAAAGAGGCGAAGCGAACTCAAAGAACGGTGCAATACACAATATAATTCAATACAATACAATACAATACAAGTAGAAACGATCATCATCATCGGGAGCTTAGTGGAAAGAAACAATCAAAATCTAAACTCTACCATGGGAGACAAACGGCTCGCTCGAATTCTCCGGGCTGCGCGTCGAAATTGTGTATGGCAAACGCATCGCGAGGTTTTGTTGTTGCGGGGGAGGGACTTTGGAACGAAGAACAGAAAAAGCACCGTACTTGTAGGCCAATCAACCATGAGAGCAAGGAATGAACTTCTTGCTATGCACTTAGTTTTTCGTTCAATTCGTTTCGTGCAATGCGATCCGATCCGATCCGATGGTGGATAGAACTTACAACGTGTCAATGCACAAAAGGAAACTAAAATACAATCGTAATTTTAAGAAATGGATGTAATCGCGAAGCTGAAGGACTCTTTAGCTGTTGAACCAGTCCAGGCAAAATTATATTCGTAGTGCTACAAGAGAATCACCCTAACGCCTGGCGACGCAAGATACTTCTGATACTTTCTATCCATTTGAATATCCGTAATACCTGTAGGAGAACTTAGAGCGATGGTGTGTCATACCGGCCGGCTACCACAGACTTTGTGAGTCATTTTTGGCCTTGTGCAAATATTACTACACAACAAGGAATTGTGTTCTTCAGGGTAAGCATTTTCTGTTCTCATGAGTGAGTTGTACCTCTTTTACAGCAGAACCATAGGGGGGCAGGAGGGCTACTAGTAGTATTGCCTGCTGCTCCTAGTACTACTAGTAGTACTAGTAGTAGCTAATACTGGTGGTGTTATTAGAAGTGGTAGGACAAGAAGTATAGAAGAAGTACTACTATTACAACTACCAATATTATTAGGATGATCTGTGCTTGATACTGCCACTGCTGGTTGATCTGTACCTTGGCATCTCCATCCTCGCCATCACCACCAATTTTTATACTACCACTTGGTTCCTTACCTAGACTACTACTACTAGTAGTAGTAGTAGCAGGCCTTCCAACTACATGGATACCTTTGTTCATCTTCTTGGACCCAATGTCAGCTTAAATGATGATTTGAAGAATGGTGATAAGAACTCCCTCAGGTGGCAGCTTTGAATTGATTGTGTCATTAAGATCTTCATCAGTTACATTGAAATCAATTACATCCACATGGACAACTTGCTTGTCTATACACATCAATGTGGTAAACCAGATGAGAATAATGTCTTTGAGGATCTTCTCTTTCATTGGTTCACCAAGACCATATTTCTTGTAGAGCTTGCAGAGGTAGTATGTCATGGTCTTAATGATAGCATGATAACCGTGAAACTGGTGCTTTTGTCCCTGTTGAACTCCAATATGCCACAAGACCTTCTTAGCTCAAGATTGAAGGAATCAGTCCATTCAGGAATGATAAGATCTGCATGAATGGAATTGTACATGATGTACTGATCATGGTGAAGGTTTGATTCATCCTTGGTGTCCTGTGAGTCCCAAGTTCCAATAATGGTACTACGATACTAGGTACTTCCCACTATCGTATAGGCTGGGCCAAGCAAAAAAGCACGGTTTAAACCGTACATTAGCAATTTAATATATCCGTAAACGAATATCATTGGATAAACCGTACATTGACTGGCCAAGCCTATACGATACTGAAGTGACTGCCATCAGCAGGAGACATGTTGCTTGCAGTGTTGACTAGGTCATCAACAGAAATGACCTGCAATGATTCAGATATTCTTGTAGGCTGCTGCTTCTTTGGAGGGGGAAGGACTACTACTAACAGGCATTCTTTTTGCTTGGTGAGCTRGAGAGAGAAGACCAGAGGAGGTGTTTTTGGCAGCACAAAACTTGGTGGTGGAGGAGCTTCTTGAGAGAAACAACAAGGCTCCTGTTGATCAGMAAGAACTGAAGATGGAGTCTTTGGGATGCCTTTGATGACCTGCTTGTCAATGGGGATAAAGTTAGTATAACTGTTTGAATGAGTTTRACCTCTCTTAATGCTCTACRGGTTTCTACTGTGYGTCAATTTTGGGCTATCTTTTTATTGTGTAATGACTTGTACTAGTAGGGCTACACTGCACATGCGAGCAAAACGATTTTGGTTGCACAACTGAAACTATTTGGTTGCWCGAATGTGGGATTCAACAACTCAGSATGTGCAGTTTTTTAGTCAAAGTAGTCATTAAATGCATAATAAGGGCCCAAAATGTATGACTGGTTTGTACATTTGGGTGCCAACTCTATACAATACAGTGAACTGTGTGCTCAATCTGTTTTTACATGATTTTACACTGTATTGAAGTGGAAATCCAATATTCCAGTGSCTTTTGGGAGTGCCTTGTTATGTATATTGCTGCAATCATGTACATCTGTCATAAAATGTCATTATATTCTGTATATGATAATACATGTAGCAGTGTTGATTYATAACATAAAATTATATTGTATCTTGGGCAAGAAAAMACTACAGTAAAGACAGTACATACTAGTACATATCCAGCCCCAAATATCTYTGTATACTACCACGTAACACCCTATAACCCCCCACCCATCAATGTCTGCATCTCTTTATTCCAAACACTTTGCTGTGCTTTAGACCAAGACACAGACCAAACTATCTGTTCAGGACTAAAGGAGCCATATTGTGAAATTACACAGGAATATATTAAACCATGGCTTTTGGGACCCTTGTCCACTGTGTGATAACTACTTGGATCCAAAAATTCCAGTCCCACAACAGACGCTCTGCACCTAGTAAAGTGACCACCATCTTGCTTTAACTGATATTTTCAGCTCACTAAATTAGGGGGTTAGTCTTGGAAATAATAATGTTGCAATACAACCCCCTTGATTCATTTGTTCTATGTCCAGTCAATCAGAAAGCGCAAAGCAAGGGAAGTTGCAAAGTCAATTAAGGGTATCAATCCAGGAATTGGATGGAAGATCCAAATACTAGTCATGGATAGTACAACAGCTGCCCCTTKGAAATCACCAGACAACAACCCCACTCCCCCCCTCTCAAGAGATCCTTTCTGATCCTTTGCCTCAGGTGCAATTCATATTGAATAAAATCTGGAAGTGGGTGGAGTATTGGGATTGGCAAAACAAGCCAACACCCTATAGTAGCAAGGAGAAGAATGAGACCTGTGCTGTCTGTCTGTGGAACATCTCCTGCTTGAAGAAGAAAGATCTTGCAATGTTCATCAAGCTTGCATAATTTGCAAAGCTACACTCCCTGTACATAATGTGCTATGGATTTTACATGCAATGAATAGGGGACACATGTTGATGACAAGAACTACTAYTCTTTCACCTTAGATGACTATTCCCTGCCCAGCTAAGACAAAGTGTATTTGTTGAWGCAATATTATGATGATCTTGAAGAGGTTGAAGAAAAGYCTCTGCTAGAGTATGTCCWAGCTGAGAAACAGACAGTGTMCAGCAACTSTATAYATAKCAGTAGAAAACAGGCAAATTGCCAAAGAGAATATACAACCAAGCAGTACTACTAAAACAAAGCAATTGGCAATTCATATCTAATAGAGTAGTAGCAGTTCAACMGTTTCTGGAGGTTCAATCAGAACCCAACCCTAGAGGAGAAATCTCCTCTTCTTAAACCAAACTATTCATTGTTATGATAGTTGCTGTGACAGTATCTCTTGATTAGATATCCCTCACTGTCTCTGTTCTTTGTTGTGTCCATAGAGCAGAGAGGAACTCAACAAATACCATGAACAACATAAGTTTGAGACTCACACATGTAGCACACATGACTATTCCTTGATTTAGTTTGTCTCATAGCATGCAGATATTTCTTATACTCTGTCTATGAGATACAGGATCTGCCATTGAACTTGTTCTCTGAGACAGTGATGGCAACATTGTGGTAATCTAATAGCACTGTACTGTTCCTGAGGAGCTTTTTGCACAATAACTTCTTGAGAACCACGTCACACAAACCGATATAATGGTGTTTTAAGTTTCCTGCGTGC